GGTCAATTACATCCATTTTCTCCCTGATGCACTGAAGAGCAGCCTCAGTGCACAGGGCAGCAAGATCAGCACCTACGTATCCATGTGTATCTTTTGCAACTCTTTCAAGGTCAACCTGCAAATAATACAAAATAAAGTTACTGATATTGCTCAAAGAAAAGCAGTTGCATACAGAACACTGAATGAATAGCTGGATAAAGTCTGACATCTTCAGAAAGTTTCATTTTCTTCGTATGGATTCGTAAAACTTCCAGTCTTCCAACTTTATCAGGCACACCAATGTCAATTTCTCTATCAAATCTACCAAACCTCCTCAGTGCAGGATCAATGCTATTAGGTCTGTTGGTTGCCCCCATGACAATGACATGAGATCGAGACTTAAGGCCATCCATCAGGGCCAGAAGTTGAGAAACTATCCTCCTTTCGACTTCACCATGCGTCTTCTCTCTTTTTGGTGCAATGGAATCTATCTCATCAATGAATATGATGGACGGCGCATTATTTTCAGCCTCCTCAAAGGCCTTTCTCAAGTTACTTTCACTTTCACCAGCCAATTTTGACATTATTTCAGGTCCGTTGATCAAGAAGAAAAATGCACCAGTCTCATTAGCTACAGCTCTTGCAATTAGCGTTTTTCCAGACCCCGCAGGTCCATAAAGCAAAATACCCTTTGGTGGCTTAACACCAATCGCTTTAAAAAGCTTAGGGTGTCTCAGAGGAAGCTCTACAAGCTCACGGATCTGGGCCATTTGCTTCCTCACCCCACCAACATCATCATATCCGACTTCATCCAGTTTCTCCTCATCTTCACGCCTGACAGGCTCTCCCTCGCAAAATATCTCTGTATCAGGTGCAACAACACAATATTCACTAGGATCTGTCTCTACCACCTTAAATTCAACACTACGCATGCCTCTAACTTGGAAACAATCACCCTTCCTGACAGGTCTATAGGCTTCAAGAAAGTATGCTGGTGCATAAAAAACAAAGGTAATGTTATAAACTTAGTCCTATCGTAAAAAAATAGAATCAGGTTTAAGTTATCCTCTAGAGGTATCATGGAAAAATTCCAACCACAAATGCAACTATAGACTTACGCTTCAAATACGCATCAAACAGGTTTCCCGTGAGGCCCTCAACTGAGTCATCAAATGGAAGGATGTGGACACGCTTTCCATACTTGATATCAGGGCACTGGTGGACTGAAACAACATCAGATAAACGGACCCTGAGATTAGCTCGAACAACTTTGTTCATTCGGATTTTCTCTTCTTCACATTGTTCATCAACAAGAACAATGCACACTGTGTTTTTCCGCTTCTTTCCCTGTTCAGAAACATAATTTTGTAAATGCTGAAATCAAAGCAAATTATTCCAAACCTTTTCTAGAAGTGTCCAAGAAGGAATCTACCTTAATCAAAATGGTATCACCTCGGAAGAGTTGCAGTTCTTCCATCTTGGAAGGATGCATCGTAACCACTGAATTATCATCATTTGTGGCCTCATCAACAATAAGTCTGTTAGGGGACTTCTTTCGCTCCAGAATTGCAGTAGAGTAATCCTTTTTATTACTTTTCCTAAATTTTGTAAACCAATTGTTTTTTGAGTATGAAACCACAAACTCATGTCATCTTTAACAAAGCTGAAGCACAAATCATCAAGCTTATACATCATGACATGGAAAAAGAATAAATGAGACATGTACCCAAAAAAAGAAGCCAAAAACAAAATGGATACATACAAAAGAGAAACACACTATTTTCACTAAGCAATCTGGCATGTTTGTACAACCATAGACATGTGCTTGAGCATATAAGAGGTGACAGAGATTTTTAACATCGTTTTTGCAGAGTACAAGTGTAGAAATCACATTAGAAACTTAGCAGTCCTCAGCACATTGACACCAATAGATAAAAAATTTAACTTGGGACTAAAAATCCTCTGATCGTTTAACATGCTTGCGAGCACTATTCCCCTGTATCTCTTGTTATAAGCTAGTTTAACTTATCCTGCATTCTAATTTTAACATAAATTGGTTTGTATATTCTGCATTCTAATTTCAAGTTTGTATATTCTGCATTCTAATTTCAAAACCAGAAACCAAACCTTATAGGTGTCACCCAAAACAAAACAAATTTTAGTCAATTCTTCGAAACACACGTTTTTCAACCAACTTTTTTCAATCTGCATGTACACCCTTATCCAAAAAATTGCTACACCACTAATTTTCTAAAAATTTTTCTGAAAAGAACGCTTAAAGAAAAACCTGATCCCAGAAGTTAAACCCAGACTTCCAACCCAAAAGAAAAGGTTCAAGTTTGGAGGAGAAACCATGCCAGAATCTAACAACAGAAACAATACCACCAAAAGGGTTCCCTCTGTACACCATGAAACATCATAATCAAATTCAAAAACATCAAACAACAACTGCAAACGAACATCTATCTTTCCAGTATCAAAAAGGGGAAAAAAAAACATTTCACCTAAAAACTAATATGTGGTTTTCCACAGACACAAAAGGATTGCACCACAAGAATTACATGCAAACACGTAAACAAAAAACCACAAAAAAAAAACTCAGCTTCAGATGACAACACAATAAAGAAAGCTATAAATTAACAGAAACTCACATGTCTCCGTGACCTGGAACAGCAGAAGAAGTTGAACTTGGATCAGCAGCCATTGCTCAGAGGTATTAACTTAGAGGCAGTGTTTTCCTATGTTCTAAGCCAAGAAGGTTCCCAAGAAACCTTCGAGATTTCTTGCTCTTCTTTGAAGTCGGTGTGGCATATACATACAGAGAGGGTGGTGATGAAATTTGACCGACTCGCTTATGAATTCCTTTTGAATGGGGAGTGACCATATAAAAGTATGTCAAACGAGTCCTTTAATTGAAAATTTGAAATCTTTATAATGGCCCTCAAATTTTTTTTTTTGCTTCAATTTGGAGCATACACTAATAATATGTACTAGTGTTCAGAGCATACACTAATACGTGTACAACTAATGAGAAAATATTATTAAAATTTTGAGTAAGTTTGTATCATTTTCAAAAGAATTGGTTTTATATTTTTGATAATAGAAATTAAAAAATTCACCAAAATAAAGTGTATAAATAAATAATTATTTATAAATAATTCGCAACCATAATTGATAGTTAACTATATTATTAGTATAAATATGTATAACTAAACACTATTACCTATTCTATTCGTAAATTATTTGGACTTTTGCAACGAGTACGTTTTAGTAACATGTTGTAGATGCACTACGATGATTTGATTTTTTTTTTTTATATGATTCTGCTCAATTTAATCAATTATGCTTCTCCGAAGACAGATCAATCAATGTCAAACTGTTTCAGAGATTAGAGTAACAAAAGCTAATTTTAGAAAAGTTCAAAATCAAAATCATAAATACAACTCTCATACAATTTCGGTATTTGAGTTTTTGTTTCTTTTTTTTTTAAGATTTAAAAAGGTAAAAAAACTAAAAGGAAAAACAGTTGAGAACATCGTGTGACAACTTTTCCAAAAATCAAATACAAAGCATGTCCATAAGGGAAAAAAAAGAAAATGGAAAAAAGCAATTGATAATATGCACTAATAATACTATCCATAGTGCCTTAGACAATCATTGATCTGTGCATCAATTTTAGCAAACATAGTATGAAATTTTTATGATTACCTTGGTATAGATCTTTATCATATATGTAGAATCCTTGTTTTATTAAATCGTGGTAGAATATACACTTTCCTTTCTTTTCATTGCCATTCTTTGTTTCCCACATTTTCAATAGCAAGTGACACGTATTTTTTAGATACTTTCTTTTAATTATGGTATCCATATATGAAAAAATGAGGCCAAAATTATGTATCCCAATGAATTGGACAAATTATCCATTAGATTTTTTTCTTAATTATTCTTTATCAAAATATAAGTTGAAAATTGTCTCTCAATTACTTTTCGTTTATCGATGAGATTAGGCACTAAGGCCCTATTTGATAACCCAATTCAACACTTAAAGTTAATGAGTTCAGATCTTAACATATTCAGAAATTTTTATAATAAAAAATTGAGCATCTGAATTGATTAAATGGTACTGAATTTTCTAGACAAAATTTACTTCCAAAATTAAGTAATAAGCTATTCACTTATCATTGAATGTGATATGTACTCAAATGTATTAGGTTTAATACTTAATAATTTAATGACTTAATGGATTCAAACTTCAGATTTCAAATTTTAGACCAGTTTTCAGATTTCAGTTTTATCAAACGCACCCTAATTGTCTTTTAAAATTCTATTTTATTTTTGTGATTCATCCCTACCGAAAATCTAGGCTTGCACTCTCCACATTAGGAAAATATAGAATCCAAATATTCTTTTATCATATAATTAGTCAATTACAAATCAATTATCTTCTTTTCAATTTCATCCATTTTCAGATTTAGAAGATCATGAAAACTATATTTTCTTTTTCCTTTTTTTTTTCAAATTTACATCATGCTACATTTATACACCTCAAGCTTTGACCACATATTTACGTTCTAAAATAACTTTCTGTTAACTTTCATTTTTACAAATTACAATAAATCTATAATCTACATTCACTTGTGGTGGTGCTTTGAAAATTTTCTTAAGATTTTGGCATATGTGCCTATGCACCCATCAAATGTATTTCTGCACTTGTCTTAAAATAAAATAAGGAATAGAGCCAAAAAAAGCAGCAAAATCCAACCCCATTCTTTTTTATGTGCGAAAGGGAATTCAAGAGTTGATGGGATGAATGGCAAGCTGGATAGATATATGCATGTTCCTGAACCTTGGCAAAGGCCAACAATTCTTGGTCCCTATCAAACACTGCCATGTCTTTTTCCCTTAAGCTCATCCAGGCTTCTATTCCATGCCCATCATCCATATCCATTAGTACAGTGGATTGGATGCAATATAGGACCTACCCATCCTGGAAACTTGCACCAACTAATTGATGAGTAATAATCTTTATCATCTTGGATCAACTTGTTTAATGTTTTTTTTTTGGACCGCAAAATGGCTATGGCAGCCTAATCATGATGATCTTGCAACTTGTTAACAAATTCATTCAGACCTTTTCTCATCAAAACCACTAATCCCTGAAGATCCATGATATCATTGCCTTCATATTCGGACATTTCGAAGTTTCCAATGGTATGTTCAGGCAATGGATTGGAGGTACTAATTAGTTGTCTTACAGCAGATAGCCTTTTTCTGATGTCCTGATGCCCGAATTGCACATTTCCAGGTCAGTGCAAAAACAGCTTCAACACGACTAGGATGCAATACATCTGCCCTTTTGGCTATTGTTTTGAGGTGAGCAATTCTAGGAGCATCAAACACAAATCTTTTTGTAACACTATCCTCCATCTGTGGCTTTACAGTAGGCAGCACTTCATCAAGTGGTGGAATAAGTGTTGCACCTGCAGAAAAATCAGGGATGAAACGAGGATAAGAAGAATGATCCTTCATAGCAGTAGCATTGTTACAACTTGTAATCAATGTGTTACAGGTGCTAGCACCAGCTATCTTACGTGAAACAGATAAAGAAATTGCAAGTCCTTCACAGGTAAATTTGTGGCTTGAACAATTAGTGGACAATTTACCTTGACCTTTTTTTGTTCACCCGTTCACCCGTTTGAACTCGTGGTGGTGGATAATCCATTGTTATTGTATTTCTAATTATCTGTCCTGGCTGATTTGGATGCAGCCAAACAACTACAATTTGTTTTCTTTCTTGAACGTGAAGGGAAAAGCCAAATTCACAAATTTTATGTTCATAGGAGCAAGCATATATGGTTTGAGAATTGAGACAGCGTGTCACGAAATGTGCTAGATAGATGGACCAAGTCTCAATTAAGTTCTTCATTCATAAATCCTAAGCATGTAAGAGGTCAAAATTTAGTCCAAAAGCCTTCCATGATTAAATTAGTAGTGTCTCAATGGTAAAGTCTAATAAGGAATTAGGAAAGTAATTTGTATTTGAGACCAACTATTTGATTGTGTAGGAATTCAAAAGAAAAAAAAAAGATTGTGTACGAATTCTAGGCGGGCTTTAAGTGTTTGAAATGTACGAGATCTGAATGGGTTAATGGAGTTGTGCCTTTTATACAGAATTGGGTAGATTTGGTTCAATTAGATATAATTGGATATGGTTGTTATATTTCCTTCACAACTTGATGTATAGATGCGATTGTATTTTCAAGTTGAGTCGACGTATGTAAAAATACATGTAATTGGGGATAGTTGTTATAGTTCGTTCACAAATTGATGTGATTGTATTTTCAAATTGAGTCGATATATACAAAATACAATAATCGGATAATTGCACCAAAATTCCAACCATTGCTAGTGTATGTGTTTCATAATATATGTACCTGACTCTTGGACAGGGTGCAAACAAGTCGAGTTTTTCTAATCGAGTCAAGTCTCAACTTAATTTTATGAAATTGGAGTTTGAGTTTGACGAACTTTCAATATAAAGCTCAAACTTGAGTTCAAACTTCAAAAATTTTAAAAAATAATTATTTTATTTTTTAAAAATAAATAAAAGTATAATTTTTCTTAACAAATAATAAAATATTAGGGATGTATATGTAATTTTACTATTAAAATAATAAATAAATAAATATATAATCGAGTTGGCTCGTGAGCTAACGAATTGAGTATCTTTGACCTCGAGTTCAAATTCGAGTTCGTCTTAGTCAGTTCGAACTCGACTTGAGCTCGATGTTAACTAATTGAGCTCAGATTCGAGCTGTTCGCAAACGGTTTGATTCGTTTGCAACCCTACTCTTGGATCATGTTTCTTTGACCGTATATTTGTGTTTGTTAGGATAACTGGCGGTAAAATTACAATGTATCCTCAGGCAGCAAGGACTTTATGCTGGATTATTGCACATAATATTTCGCACAATAATTTCTAATTTATTTTTTATATTTTTAATTATATTTTTAATTTTACATATATTATATTATAAAAATTATTACAGTAATTATTTTCAATAATATTTCAAACATACTCAATCCAAACACACGTGATAGTTGTACTTGACAGATGGTCGGAAATTATTAGTGTCTTTTGGCAAAGAAATTGAGGTCTTTTTCGGGCATTCACCCCAACTCTGAAACCTTGCGCCCACCAGAAGAACGAAACGAGGGAAGGGAGTGGGAATTTTACAACTCAGAAAGGAAAGAAGGGAAGACGAAAAGATGGGTCTGAAAATCGAAAGAAGAGTGGAGAGAGTGAATGGAAAAGACTTGAGTTACACCCAATTCGTACAACAATACCTAGTTCAGAATCAACCCGTTATTCTCACTGGATTGATGGAAGATTGGAGGGCCTGTAAAGATTGGATTCTTGAAGATGGAAAACCCAATCTCCAGTTTTTCTCTACTCAGTTTGGGAATTCCAAAGTCCAGGTATTTCATTTATTTTAAATTCAGGATTTCGTTTCCTTCACTCTTCAACTGAAAATTTTGATTTTGATTTTTTTTGGCAGGTTGCAGATTGTGGGGCTCGAGAATGTATGGAGCAAAAGAGATTGGAAATGTCTGTTTCAGAGTTTATCGAGAAATGGGTTCAGCTTAGTTCTTCCAGAGAGAGTATTTGTAATGAGGTTTCTGATGACAAGTCTTTACTGTACTTGAAAGATTGGCATTTTGTTAAGGTATCCTTTTGATTTCTCTCGTTTCTCTTCCTTGACTTTTGTTTGTTTGATTAATAGAAGTAAAGGAGTTTCTTTTCCAGTACCAGGAGCCCTGCGTGTTGGTAGATGAATGGCAAACTTTTATTGGATAGAGCTGTTGAGAGCGTTTGCTAAAGTCTGTTCAATATTGTAGTTATGCTTGTTTTTGATTTATGTATTGTGGGACGGAGATTCAAGCCTACTATGAATATTTGTGTGGACTGAAGTTGTGACTGGATAGGCACAGACAGATAGCTATGGTTGTCATTTAAACAGAACTCGTTCCAACGTAGAAACTCCACTTTGTTGCATTCATCGAATTCATGTGTTTTTTGGTGGTGTATTTGTTGTCTGAATTAGTGTTCCTTGTTTTCAGGAGTACCCGGAATATTGTGCATATAGAACTCCATTGTTCTTCTGTGATGATTGGCTGAACATGTATCTTGACAAATATGATATGCATACTGATCCTGATAGTTACCAGAAGAAAAATGAAATAAGTTGCTCTGATTATCGTTTTGTGTACATGGGACCAAAAGGTTGGAGACTAGATGTCTTGATCTCTTTCTTGTAAGGCAAAGATTGCACTGTTTTTTGGTTTAAAGCTTGGCCTTTCTTCTGGTTTTCATTTGTTCATATAGAAACTCAAGTATGATAAGTTGTTATTCTCAACCCCAGGTACTTGGACCCCTCTTCATGCGGATGTTTTCAGGTCATATAGTTGGTCGGCCAACGTTTGTGGCAAGAAGCAATGGTTTTTTCTCTCACCAAGTCAACATCATCTTGTATTTGACAGGTAGCAGTTTGTCATTTTGCATTTGCATGAACTGCTAGATACATTTTTCTTGTTACTAAAATTTGCTGATAAACATTGTAAGAGAATTTCAACACTTATAGTTTATACCCTCTTCTTGAAAGAGAAGAATAGGTGAAGTAGGAAATATAGTTTGTATTCAGTGTCTGTTGCATTACAAGAACCCTTAAGCTTACGAATGATGATGCTGCATTGACCTCTTCTCTAGAAGAGAATCTCTGCAGCTCATCTAGAAAGAGTATTTGAGATGGAATACCGGCTTACATGTAATCAAAGTCCCACTAAGAAGGGATCATTCTTGGTAATTACTTGAAGAAAATATTTTAAAAGGTACCTTTATCTCTTCAACTACCAGACCACCTGCTAGGAGTTCCATGAAGATGTTCATGTTCAAGGTGGATCTAATAAGATTGAATGCTTGTTGCCAACAGATAGTAATTTTGAAGTTGGTTCTTTTTGCTATTTATGTGGTTGCAATTTCTTCCATCGCATCTTTTTACGCCAAAATATTTGCTTTGGTAGTTGTCCACTACACAAGTTAAGGATCATTGGCTAGCTATTTCTCTGCACTACTCTTCTTTTGTGATTTCATTATATGCTTATTTTCTAGGACTTTCCAATCTGAGCTGTCTAATAGAAGGGCATTTTTGGTATATTTTGATAAGCAACTAGTAAAGGGTAGGTGAGTAGACTTCCATGTGCCCTGTCAAGGGCCCAATAAAAGGGAATGGAAGGAATTCGTCTATGAACATCAGCTATTGTTCACACTTATTTACCAAAGAAAGAAAGTCTCTGAATTCTAAATTGACAAAATGAGGTAAATGATAAATAATTTTGTTGCTGATGCATGCACCATGAAATTCTTTTATGTTTGGCTCTTATGGCATAACTTACAAGTTTATTCTGTTCTTTCAGGTACATGACAAATGCTGTTTATGATATCTTTGAGGATGTTAGTGAAACAAAGTTCCCCGGTTTTAAAGAGGTAATTTATGAGCTTTATATGTATTGTTGTTTCCTTTAACTTTTGTCTATGAAGGTTCAGTTTTCTGAGTTTCATTTTTCCTTTATCTTGTTGAACGTCCAAATGCAGGCTATCTGGTGGGAGTGCACTCAGGAACAGAATGAGATAATCTTTGTCCCTAGTGGATGGTACCATCAAGTTCATAACCAGGTATCATTCCATGGGTCACTTGTGTTGTCAAAAGCGAAAATTCCAGCTGTTGTGCATATTCTATTTACTGTGAAATTCTTACCAGTTTAGTTCTGCACCCACTTTTGGGGAGCAATCATAATAGGTGTGAAGAGTTGAATAACTGATTGTGTGTTTATCTGCTACAAGTTTGGATACTTATATCTACTAGCAATGTCATTGTGTCTTGTTGTATGGATGGGTCAATTACTGACATTGCTGTCTTTTCATCTAAGATTACAGAGGCATTTTGTTGGAGTCCCGGTGGTGCAAATTTTCTGTATATCCACATTTTAATTTTATATCAATACTGTCTGTTTATTCTTTTTATTTGAGGTTAAGAGTTAAAACTTGGTACGAAGGTAAGCACATGTGAGTAGGCTGATACTGGTCTGATACCAAGAACTATCTGTTTGCATGAAACAGAAGACATGTTTTTTGTGGTAATGTTGCAGTTTGGGTGAGCTTATTATACCATTCAAGGCTGAACGGTTTGGGTCCTTAAAAATCTTAGTGGTCTTAGACTGTTAGTGCATGTTTACTAAAATTCATTCTGCTTGTAGATGATTTATTGTTTATAGACTTTTTAGGGGTTCCAGTTGTTCTACAAAAATCAATCATTGAAAAGAGTGCAGGAAAACAGGACTCTGAGCATGTTGAGCCAAAAAAAAAAAAGATAAAAAAAGAATTTCTCTTGTCTTTCCCAGGAGGTATAAAATTATTGGGAATGTCAGAAACTACTGCACAATTGGCCAAGAAAGTGTGTCTATTTCTTTTTCTTTTACTTTGACATTTGTATATGCTATTGGCTTTCAGTGTATGAATAACATTAACATCATGGTTGCATTGTAATTTTCAGGAAGATACAATATCAATCAATCACAACTGGTTCAATGCCTATAACCTCTCTTGGGTGGTAAGTTTAAGCAAACTTTATTTGTACCTAGAACAAGTCCTTTATCTTTAAAGTGGAGAAGGTAAACTTTCTGAATAATGTGTTTCATGTTTTATCAGTGGGATATACTTTTGACAGACTATAAGCAAGCAAGGGATTTACTAGAAGACATTAAGGAAATTTGCGATGATTTTGAGGGGCTTTGTCAGAGGAATCTTGCAGCTAATACAGGTTTGTTTCAGCACACAGACGGTAGCAGCATTTGGAGCATTTAATAATATCCATTTATCGTTTGTTTCACTTTGGCTAGATACTTTGATCTTTCAAGTAGATTATGTCCATGAATTTTCAGGAATTTTACAATGTTTTGATTGTTCATTTCACTTATTGGACTCCAGCTTGAGTTTATTGGGTAGTAGTTGATCAATAGTCCACTTTGACTGATGGTATCATGTGTGAATGGTTGTTGGCCTTAGACCAACAGTTGTTTCAGGAGATAATGATGGGTGGCTCCATAGTGCTAGATTGCTTTTCCTGCAGACAAGTTTGGCAGCTTGCTTAACTTTAAAACTTTGACTTGCACAGGTTTAGGAACTCGTGTTGGAAGGTGCCTATATGAATCTTTTCATGGGATGGAATGGTCAGATGCTGAGCTGGTCTATATAGGCTAGGTTTTGCTGTAGAATTGCATCTGACCTCTGAATGTGGGCTGTGAATAACTACCAAGGACTATACATGTGTGATTTTGGTTTTTAGATTGTGAAGCTTTGGTAAAACACTGGGTCCATCTTTCATGATAACGACTCAGTAATGGATCTTTTATGAGACGTGTCGTTCAAGCAGATAGATCAAGTTCCTGGACTTTTATTTCTAAGGTTGGAACCATTGATTCAATATATAATGGCCAGCAACTAGGATGGAAAATTAAATGAAATTCTTGTTTAGGTATTCATTTTTTGGCATCAAAATGACATGATTTTTTTTAAAGTTAACTTATAAGGGTTGATTTGTATAGGTCTTTTTAGGGGTCTTTTTGTAAATCTTGAATTGTAGATGTGTGTATTCATAAAACATCTGATGTGATGTTTTAAGGATGTTTTCAATATGTTATTGAGATGTTTTAAGAAGGTAGTGAAATTACGAAATTACTTTATTGTTCCTCACCAACCTCCACCACCAATCCTGCCATCCTGCCCTTCCCCCTAGCTGTCTTCCCCCTCTCTACTCCCAGCCACCACCCGTGTGACCCCCTCCCCCATTCTTCCCTCCCTCCTCCTGTGCTCCCTCCCTGGCTCCCACTACCCCTCTTCTTCTCCCCTGTCTTCTCCCCCGCTTTCACATGACCACATCTTGTCCAGCTTGACCAGATCAAGGGATGGAGGGGATGGCAGGAAGAGTAGGAGGGAAGGGTAGGGGAACCGGCTGATTGGGGGTGACGGGGTGGGGAAGGTTCACATGGGAGGTGGGGTGGTGATTGATGGCGAAAGGTGTATTAGAAGTGTGAGTGTTTTGGGTAATTTTTGGGGGTTTATGTGTATTTTTTTGGTTGTTTTTAGAGTTTTTCTGAGTGTTTTGCCAAGGGTTATTGTAGATGTGTGTTTTAGACAAAATTCGTTTCTTCAGAACAGGGCATCCAAAAGCACCCAAATGGTGCTCAATCCTCTTTAGATATTTTCATATTTTTTTGATCATTAATCATTTATATACTCTATATAGGTGCTCTCAGGATACAAATCTAACATGGCAATTTTCTTTCTTTTCCTGGTGGCAGGCATGAATTTTCGTGATTTCTTGGTCTTTATGATGCGTTTTGCTTTTGCCAACTTGTTCCAGTTTCACCATCTTGGAAGATCCGGCAAAAATCCCCTCTTCTGGTCATCTCAAATAGCTCAACATATAGTTTTCAATCTTCAATCTATACAAAGTATAGCTCTAAAGATGAAATCTGTTGGAGTATGTACACATCATGCCTTCTCATTGAAGCCCAGTAAAATTTTGGAAGATCATTCCTTTATGGAACTGTTCACTACTCTAAAAAAAAATTATGGTATGATGCATGGCCCATTTGAAATTGTTTACGAAGAAAAGATGGGTTTATGCAGTGATATGGATGCAATCTTCTGTGATTTCACCAATCCTAGTATTGGAAGTTCTGAAGATCTTGTTCAGTTGATAGACTTTGCTTTTGAAAAACTTGGTTTTGTTGCCAGTAAAAGTCTACCCTCCCAGGAAACTAGATATAACCCGGAGGAGCAACTCATGTGCAGGGATTGAATTAAAGTTATTCATTATGTTTAAATGTTGCTCATTCTTTTGTAGAAGTTCGAGATTTTCATATTTTTTGTGGATGTTTTGTCTCTGCCTATAGATCTTAACCTGATAAGATACTAATATATATTCAGATATAGAACTCATGGAAATGTAAGGTTCATTGGAAGTTCTGACACGAGCATCTAACTTTTTGAAATGCATATGCATTCTTTTTCTGCAATAACATTGGGGAAACAATCCACTGCAGTGTGTATGTGGTTATTATATCTAAAATTTTCAAGTACTATCAGTGCTTTCTATATGATTCCCATGCTTGTAATGGCCAATCTTGTGCTTTTACAGGACTATCTTGTCCTTGATTGAGGTCAAATTAGATAAAGTGTGTCATGAAACGTTGTTTGGTCATATCTGGAAACTTAATACTAGATTTGTCAGTGTAGAATAAAAGACTCTAGCATTCAAGTCCTTTGCTCCATCCTTCCTAGATCTTGTCCTTGCAAATAATGCTTTGATTGTTTTTCCATGCTTATTTGCTTTTCTATCCTTTTCTCATTCTTGTGATCTATACTTTAATGAAACCATGGGATACCGAATTTTCTTTTTGCACTATTTGACAGTTCTGTTCACTGTTTAGTACTTTGATTGTATCAGGCATATATTGTATGCTTAAGACTTGGTGTCTTCAAATTTTTAATTTTTCTCCTGTTTAAAACCTTAACATATGGCATCTAATAGTTGGTGAACATGGCCTCGATTTCGTTGTGGGGCAAATGACACCTTGATTATGGCATGAATTGAAGTCTTGTTAGTGGCAAAAGAGAATAATTTGTATACTTATACTTTATCCGTAGATTCTATTAGTACTAGTTTCTTGATAAAACCCATGTTCTTGGTCAGATGAGCTTGTATTTTTCCAATATGTTGAATGCTTGGGCCTAGTTGGCTCTGTAAGAGTAAATCATTGTCCTTTGGTAGAAAACTATCTGTCTTGATGGCCTAACAGGGAAACAGTTTGTCATGTTCGCTGTTTTTTTGTGTGTAATAAGCAGTTAGCCTGTGATGTTTTGTAAAATAGTTGGATGGTGCATGATCAAGGTTATGCTACAGTGCTTTCATACTTAGCTTTCCCAAGCTTGGCACATGCAAATTTCTTCCTAAATTGAAATTTACTCTTCCCCAAGTGTTGAGTAAAGTGTTTTCTTTGTCATAAAAATCATTCAATTTAAGGTAATATTTTCACTAGGGATTGTTGAGCACATGTTGGTGATCTCATTTCTGCTCTAACTCAAACTAGGTTAATGTTCAAGTCTGCACGCACACAAACTTTTCATATATACAGGAAAAATATTAAAAAGAGGCATATACATCAAGACCACTACAGAAAATTTTGAGGTAGACACGGATCCGAATTCTCTGCAATCACAGTATGGATTGTAGCGAACAAGTGAATTTTTTTTTTTTGTTGTGTTTGTGCATGTTATGACTTATTGTTTGTGTGTCCATATTTGTTGTTTTAGTGTTTATGTTTTATCAGTGTCTATATTGTACCGTGCAATTGTCACTAACAACTGTATAGAGGCCTTGAATCCATTAAACACTCGACATATACCACCATGTAAAGCCTAGTTTATACGATAAGATCAGGAAATGAGAAGTCTTCAAGAAATATTTTTGATTGTTTATATTGCACCGTGCAATTGTCACTAACAACTATGAGAGGCCCTGAATCCATTGAACACCAGGGCCTACACCATGTAAAGCCTAGAATATATAGGATAAGGTCAGGAAATAAGAAGTTTTCAAGAAACATTTTTGATTGAAATTATACATGAACTGATCTTGCCTGAATAGAGTAATGGAATGGTGATTGACAACAGTTGCAGACCGGACTACCTCTACACAGATGTGCTGTTTTTCTCTCCATGGCACTGTGGGTTCCCTCCAGGACCACCATAGTGAAAGTAATTTCCCCAAACATCATTTCTTCCAGCTTTTATATCATAACAACTTATATCATCAATTGTCAGGAGTTGAAAGTTAGATAAAGGAATCAAGCTATTGAAGTAGTCAACAACTTGCAAGTTTCGAAAGTATGATGCTTTGCTAACTCCATCATCTGAAAGATCATCAGTTCCCATGAGGGCTGATGAATTCATTCCCACTGATTTGGTTCTGACTATCATTCCCCCAAACTGCACCATGTCTACATGGCTCTTAAGATGAGTGAACAGAGTTGATGGCCAGTATCCAACAACTAAACCTGGTCCGACTTCAAGCCACCAGTTTCCATTCTTAATGTCCTGCAAAGCAAAAACAGCGTCCTATCAAATCCACTTTCCTACTAAATGAGCTGAGATATGATCAGTTTCAAACTACTTATATATGAATTTGTTAATTTATTATCTATTTCTTTTCATTTTTTTTTTAAAAATTTTCTTTTGGGCTAGGAGATGCAGCATATGGTGTACTTTCAAACCTATGTTCATAAATATAGTAATACATCGTTACTATGGAGAAATAAAAATGGATGAATTGATGATGATTTGGTTAATCGACACAATTTTTATCTCATGGTCAACAATTAGTTTCCTCGTCTGACCAATTGAGCAGGAAATGCTGAACTGGATACTGTTAATGTGTGAATTTGGTTTGATCTGAGGAAAGAGGCCCCGCCGGGGGGGGGGGGGGAGGAGTGGGGAGAGAAAGGAAAAGTTTCAGGACCTTTCAATTGAATCCTGAAGTTTGCACGAGGCAGCATAAAACTTACCATCCAGATCATTATTCCAAAATCAAGTTGTCTGCCACCTTGAGATAATCTTGGAGAGATTGCTGCCCCTAAAGAAATTCTGTTGCTAGTTTGCACAAAGCCTGAACACAGTAAGTTGTAGCATCCCCTTGTGAGATATAGATCATTCTGCAGATTGAAGTTAGCTAGGAGTCAAACTTTCATGCTGAACACATACAAATGAATTCGTGAAGAATCTAGGACATATCCTTGATAGGTACCGTCCAATGCGTGAAGAATCTAGGGAATTCATCTCCATATAACTTTGGGTTGATCTGAAAAAATCAAACATGGAAGATCCTTAGATATCTTCTTCTACCTCAGAAGACTTAATAGCAAGCACATTGAGGAACACTTCCATTCCCAGAAGATGAGAAACAAACGATGAGTTGTTCAGTTACTATACCTCCCAGCCGGCTTCAATGATATCAGTATCATCAACAGGTAAGCTAAATATGCCAGAAAGGATCCAGGCTTGCGACACACTGAAGTCGTATAGGTCTGTCTCATTAGCTTTCCAGACATTTAAATTAACCTTTGCACCATAGTAACGATCTCCACCAGCGAAGGCAAAAGCATTCTGCGTTGAAAAGAAAGAAAAGATATTCGGATCAAAATCCAAACCTATGGACTTTGATGCTGTGATTGGAGACTTATGAAGCTTAGACAAAGCCAAGATAAATTAGGAGCAATTTGATTCAAGACTTGAGTCAGTCAAATTCCAATCAGCTTTCTAAGTAAAATTAAACTCTGCAAAGAATTACACTTTTTATTTAGAAACGTTATTTTTCTTGTTAGATTTCTCATTTCTGTGATGTTAATCCTTGAAGATAGGAGAAATAGGGAAAATGAAATAATCTCTTTTCAGGAGAAATAGACGTTCTACTGCAATTGTAGGAAGAAGAAAGTATGAGATGATGGAACAGTTTTCCCCTAACTTCCAATCACTTGCCAAATAAATCTGAGAAACTGACCTTAATTAGTTTCTAACCAACCTACTGAACCATGCTTTCTTTCCTATTTTCTTTCATACGCTCACCTCATGATCACTGCTAACCTTAGTTAGCTGTGCATTGAAAGATTTTCTTCCAAATTTGCTCAGCGAACCAGCTCTCCGGACATCTTTCTCTGTAGTTCTTCTGATAGGCACAGTACCTTCCGGGCATGATTCACCAGAATCAGTCCATAGTTGAAAGCTCTCTGCCAATATATCCGCGGAGTCATAGCCATTTGGTCTCTCTGGTGGATCCTGCATTTTACAAATTGACATTTTTCAGCCTCTCAAATGAAAACTATCCAAAGAAACTCTCAAGAATCAAATCCCTGTCAGTCTAGTGTATCAGGGTAACGCTGGATAGGTCAATTTTCTCTGCTGACTGTTAGGTATGTGCAAATCTATCTTTAAGATGGTGGAATTGTTATTAAACAAACTACCTGTGGCTTCTGTCCTTTCAGCTGAGGGAGATCAAAAGCTGGTTGGAGATGTGATGGGACACAATCTATTAGATCACCATCAGGACTCTATATTAAGTAGTAAAGCAACACTAAATCAGTAAACCGGAAAACCAACAAGAAGATACAAAATTTAACTAGAAACACAACCAAAAATATAAACCAAGAATTGCCTCAATTATCTTGACTGCTGGCTTGTTGATCCTCCTCAGATAACTCCTAACCCCCTTCAGTTGTTGAAACTTTCGGCTCGCGTGGAAAGTTAGATAGGATAACAGGTGGTTGTCACTGGAACCCAAGACACAAACGGGCTCAGACAAGACAGGAGTACTGGAAAATGCAATAAATACACCAAATGTGAAGATGATTTGAAGTAATGTGTGAGCTGTAGAAGCAGCCATGCTTGTTGAGTCTGTCTGTGAGTCTGTATATCTGTTCCTTAGTTAACCCAGTTCTATTTATATCATGCATTTCTATTAATCCCATAACATATTCATCAACAGATACATGGTTTACTTAATAAAGTTTGCTCATCAAGAAATACGTAACCCTCAAGAAATTATCCATTGAAGAAGTCAACCTTGGATTAGTTAGTAGAACTTTTGTCCATCAAGAAACTTATATTACACATGAAATCATTGAAAGACAAAGTCAAACCAACTCACTACCTCACCATTTTGAGCTTTTTTAGTCATATCTCTGGCTCCTTTCTGATTCTACACACTATGTATTCTCTTCACTATAAGAGTTTTTGTCAGTCAGATCAGTGTCATTTTATAAATCAACTCTCGATTTGTGTCACTAATTCATCTTCCTAAACTTCAGGATTATCTTTTTCTTTTCTTTTTATTTTCTACCT